CATGGCGGCCCCAGCGAAATGCCGCAGGTCGTCTTGGATTTAGGGTTTTTAACTGGGGTTAGGGTTTGCAGCTAATACTAATGAATGCATTAATGCATGCATGCATGCATGCATGCATGCATGCACGCTGGTTAGAAGCAAGAAAAGTAAATCAGTTAATACTACTAACAGACGCAAGAGGACTGGGGCTGTGAGCCACGCCTGACGCTGCATGCAAATATCTCTCTCCCTGTATATATATATATATATATATATATAGGGATGCCTAGGGAAGTCGCAGTGCAGAAGGAGATGAGTAGGCAGGCAAAAAGACAATAATTATTTCAATATAACTGTTTGTTTGTTAAATATGTTTATTTATTACATTAAGCTTGCTTATTTAAACAGATAATACCTCGTTAAAAGAACCAAAGAAAAGACGAAATAATGCAAATTCTTTAGATGCCAAATGCATGCATACGAATTCATGCATGCAGCCCCGTGCAGAATGCATGCACATGCTTAGCAGGCAGGGATCATCTGGGGCTCTCTGAGATGCAGATGGGGCTTTACAGGGGATAATAACCTTTAATCAGTTTCAAATGAATATATTAATTAAGGGGGGCCTGGGCTGTTCAGAGGGATGCACTAGAGACAATAAAAAGAGGCAGAATATACACAACCATGATGTCTTCTACAACTCCATAGGTTTGCATGCATGCATGCATGCGTGCATGCAATCGCATGCATGCAAACGCACGCATGCACTCCTAACTATACAAACGTGCTTACACCTCCAGGCCTTACATACGCATGCATGCATGCATGCAATGTGTGCAACGTGCATTCACCCAATTCATGCATGCATGCACTCATGCATGCAAATGTCCACATGCATGCATACAAGTGTGTATATGAATGGGGCTGTTTAATTTAAGCTTCTGTAAATGTTCGTACGTCTTCTTCCTCCCACCAGCTTCCTGTTTCTGGATCTCTAATTGCATGCTGGTCTGATATATGAGAATAGCCTTTAAGACACTCAGCAGTTCTCCTTTCATTTGCATCTTTATGCAATGTTTGTAGCTGTACTTCACCTTCACTTGGGGCCCCGGGGGCCCCCAGGGGGCCCCCCCTACTATTATCATTTCCCCGTCTCTTCATACAACAACGAAAGCAAAATAACATAAAGACACCCATACCTAACAACATCGATGTAACACCAGTTAGAGTCCTGTACCAAGGGAGAGCATCCGGATTGTCTCTTTGTTTATCTGTCTCCTCAGGAGACAGCCCTTTCTGTTGCTGCTCACTGACAAGACTGAGAGAAGAAGGAGACTCCTCTTGTTGCTGTTGCTGCTGATCTCCCTGCTCCTGCTGCTGGTCTTCCTGCTCCTGCTGCTGCTGCTGCTGCTGCTGCTGCTGGTCTTCCTTCTGCTGCTCTTCTGTTGCTGATCCAGAAGGCTTCGCCTTCGTTTCTAGCTCATCGTCCGAACGCAGCAGTGCATATATAACCTCTTCATCATCATCTGTCTCCTCTTCAGGTGTCTCCTCACCCCCTGAGGAGCCGCCTGAACCCCCCTCAGGACTTCCAGGGAGACGAAGCGGCGTCCTCTGTCTCTCTAGCAGACGCCTCAGTTGACCCTGCGCAAACTCTAATTGTCGGTCTGTACACACACACCAAAACCCTAAACCCTAAACCCTAAACCCTAAACCCTAGATTCGTCAGAACACCTGTGAAGAGGACCTTGCAGTTGCTACATGCAAAAGAGAGATTGCTGCAATAATAAAAACCAAATCATATAACTCTAAGTCTAAAAGCTTTCAGGTGTATAGGCAGCTAAAGATAAAGACAAGACTCATGCTTCCACACATAATCTCGCACCCTTTCTCCCTCCTTGCTGCATGCATGCACGCAGATGAATGTATTTTATCCAATTACACTTTCATAAATCTACATTTTCATTGTTTTCACCCTTTCACATGCATGCATTTGGATGCAAGCATTTGGATGCATGCATTTGCATGCATGCATTTGGATGCATGCATTTGCACGCATGCATTTGCATGCATGCATTTGGATGCATGCATTTGCATGCATGCATTTGCATGCATGATGAATTGTAGTGTGGGGTATCGTACCGAGGGATCGACTGTGAAGGGTAAGACTGAGCTCTTCAGTGGGGCTCCAAGGCAGCTTTGCTTTAGTTGTATATTCATAAGAAGGGAAGGGGCGTCTCTTAGGAGATGCAACCTCAGAAAAGTCAGACGGGTAGAGGCCGAGCTTCCACGATAAAATTAACTCCGCAAGAGAATCACAATAGAAACGATATTCAAGTGCATGCAGCCCCAAATCAGGTGAAGAAGATGCCGAAAGAAGACGAGAAAATAATGATAACTCTGCGCATTCAACAGTACACAACAATATATATGCATGCATGCATGCATGCATGCATGCATATAATATGCATACATAAGAAGATGCATGCATGCATATAATACAGACGCACATACAAACAGATACAGAGGTACACACAGAACAAAATGCACGTATGTACGTATGCATGCATGCATGCATGCATATTCTTATGCATGCACGCATGCATGCAAGCTTTCTGAAGGTGCATGCATGCATGCGTGCAAGCCATATGAAGATTCATGCATTCATAAATGCATGCATGCACAAACGGATGCATGCATGCATGCATGCATGAGTGGATGTACGCATGCATGCATGCATGCATGCATACCTCCTCCGCAGGTGTATGTGTGTGCGGGTCTGTTTATATGGTAGGATATCAATGAGTTTGTTTGAGTTTATTTTCTTTGTTTATTGCTTATTATTATTATTATTATTATTTATGTTTATTGTGTATTATTATTATTACTTATATTTATTGTTTATTTTGAGGTGTACGTACGGTGCATGCCGTCTTCATCTTGATAAACAAACACGCGAACGTCATCAACAACACCTTCTTTGGGTTTACTCTGTACCCAAATAACTCCTTTAACTACATTATCGGGCTCTACAGCTGCAAAAGGAGACAAAAGAAAAAGAAAAGAGATAAATCAGACATCAGCAGACGCAAGACGAAAAAAAGAGATAAAAGGAGACAAAGAAGAGGAGACAGGGGACAGAAGGAGAGCAGCAGCAGCAGTTGCTGCTGCTGCAGTAGCTGCAGCAGCAGCAGCAACAACACCACCAGCACCAACAGCACTACACCAGCGGCAGCAAGAACAGCAGCAGCA